GTTCATCCACCTCATCAGAACTGACTCAAATTGTTCTTTTTATGGCCAAGTAATATTCCATTGTGTATGTGTACAACTTCTTTATCCATTCATCTGTCGATGGGCATCTAGGTTGCTTCCATGTTCTAGCTATTGTAAATAGTGCTGCAGTGAACAATGGGATACATGTGTTTTTTTCAACCCTGGTTTCCTCAGGGTATTTGCCTTGGAGTGAGATTGCTGGGTCATATGGCGGTTTTATTTCTAGTTTTTAAAGGAATCACTATACTGTCTTCCACAGTGGCTGTATCAACTTACATTCCCACCAACAGTGCAAGAGCATTCCCTTTTCTCCACACCCTCTCCAGCATTTATTATTTGTTGACTTTTTGATAATGGCCATTCTGACTCGTGTGAGGTGATATCTTGGTGTGGTTTTGATTTGCATTTCTCTAATAATGACTGATGTTGAGCATCTTTTCATGTGTTTGTTAGCCATCTGTATGTCTTCTTTGGAGACTTTAGGTCTTTTCCCCACTTTTTAAAATAACACTTCTTAAAGGAGCACACACTTATTACTCTTCTTGGCTTTAGCACTCTGTTGGACCTCCCTTTCCAATGGGCCTTAAAATGGGACCCGACAGTCTTTCCCTTAAGAGAGGGCTGTTGGAGTACCTTCCTTCTCTCTGACAGCACTCATAGTCCCTGTGAGCTTTCCTGTTTCTCTAGGTCTAACTAACTGTTAATGCTTCCTTAGAACAGAAAAAGATGCGCTGAGAAACTCCATATCTTTATTTTTTAATTATTATTTTTAAAAATATTTATTTATTTTTGGCTGTACCGGGTCTTCATTGCTGAGGGTGGGCTTTCTCTAGTTGTGGAGAGCGTGGGCTACTCTGCTTTCCATCCTTGGGCTTCTCATTTCTCATTCTGGGTCCCACTTTGGCTTCTTGTTGTGGTCATGGGCTCTAGGGCAAGCAGGCTTCAGTAGTTGCAGTGCATGGGCTTAGTTGCTCCTAGGCACGTGGGGTCCTCCTGGATCAGGGATTGAACCGGTGTGTCCTGCATTGCAAGGTGGATTCTTATCCACTTGGCCACAAGGGAAGCCCGCATCTTTCTTTAAAGCAGGGTCAGGGAAGGGAAAGGTCGAATAGATGGTGATCTTAGATTTCAAGGTAAGGGATAGAGGCAGAATTTCAAAACTAGTAGTGTGATGTGTTGGCAATTTCAGTTTAGAGTTCAAGGCTCCATCTCAAGGGAAAATTCATTATGAAGTCTTGTGGATAGAATTACTCATTCATTCATTCAACAAGTATTTACTGAGTCCCTACCATGTGGCAGGCACTGTTCTGAGTTGTGAGATTACCGTGGAACCAAGGCTCTTACTGGAATGGAGCCAATATTCCAGCCAGTGAGAGGATGGTTAAGAAACAAATGAATAAGCAAGGTAATTTCAGACAGTGTTTGATAAGAGGCAAATAAAAACAAGCCATATAACAGGGAGTGACTGAGGCACAGGGCCGTCAGTAAAGACCTCTGTGAAGTGGTGACTTTTAAGTGGAGGTGAGGGATGAGAAGGAAACAGCCATTCAAGGGCCTGGGGGAAAAGTGTTTCAGGCAGAGGTAACAACCAGTCCAAAGGCCCAGAGCTGGGACCAGCTTGCACAGAGGTGTGGGAGACTAGGTCAGAGAAGTGGGCAAGAAATTGACTGTGCTTTATTCCATTTGTACAGGCATGCCATGGTCTGAGTTATATTTTCTTTTTTAAGATTATATTTATTCATTTATTTATGGCTGTGGTGGGTCTTTGTTGCTGCACACAGGCTTTGCTTTTTCTAGTTGTGACAAGCGAGGAGCTACTCTGTTGTGGTGTGCGGGCTTGTTGAGGTGTATTCTCGTGTTGTGGAGCACAGGCTCTAGAGTGTGCACACTCAGTAGTTGTGGCACGGGGAGTTAGTTGCTCTAAGGTGTGTGGGATCATCCGAGACCAGGGATCAAACTTGTATCCCCTGCATTGGCAGGTGAATTCTTAACCACTGGACTGCCAGGGAAGTCCTAACAGATATTAGATGCTAACTATGGACGGTGATTGCAGCCATGAAATTAAAAGACACTAGCTCTTGGGTAGAAAAGCTATGACAAACTTAGACAGCATATTAAAAAGTAGAGACATCACTTTGCCGATGAAGGTCTGTCTAGTCAAAGCTATTGTTTTTCCGGTAGTCATGTACGAAATGAGAGTTGGACCATAAAGAAAGCTGAGCACCTAAGAATTAATGCTTTTGAATTGTGGTGCTGGAGAAGACTCTTGAGAGTCCCTTGGGCAGCAGGGAGATCAAACCAGTCAATCCTAAAGGAAATCAACCCTGAATATTCATTGAAAGGACTGATGCTAAAGTTCCAATACTTTGGCCACCTGATATGAAGAGCCAACTCATTGGAAAAGACCCTGGTGCTAGGAAAGATGGAAGGCAAAAGAATAAGGAGGTGGTAGAGGATGAGATACAAGTGATAATTGTGGTGGTGGTGGTTTTGCTGTTTAGTCAATAAGTTGTATCCAGCTCTTTTGCAACTCCATGGACTGTATGTAGCCCACCAGGCTCCTCTGTCCAAGGGATTTTCCAGGCAAGAATACTGGAGTGGGTTGCCATTTCCTGCTCCAGGGGATCCTCCCCACCCAGAGATTGAACCCACATCTCCTGCATTGCCAGGCGGATTCTTTACTGCTGAGCCACCAGGGAAGCCCCTCCAAAAAAAAAAAACTGTTGTAGATCTATCCAATAGAATTCTGTGTCAGTCAGGATCCCAGCAGAAAAGTAAGTCACACACAAGTAAGATAACTGACCGTTTAATAATAGCACTATTTACAAAGTGAGGGGTATCCAATGAGGGATGGTGAAATGCCTGTAAACTAGCCACAGAGAGGCTCTGTTACACTCTTATCCTTGAAGGGTCAAAGGGAGAGAGCAGTCCCTGGAACCCGGTGAAACCTATGGGTACAAAAGAAGGCCAACAGGAGTCATGGCCAAAACAAGTTGCACAACCAAGCTCATCAGTGGGGAAGAGGGAAGTAAAATCCTCTCCTAAGGAAAGGAGCAGTGGGAGGGAAGAAAATATTTTGAAAATAATACAGTCTACCACAGACGAGACTTCCAGCAACTCTCCTACCACTATATGGATACTGCCAGACAACAGAAAAGACAAAGAGAGCAGAGAGATTGAGAAAACCAGAGTCCCACTCCAGTATTCTTGCCTGGAGAATCCCAAGGACAGAGGAGCCTGGCAGGGCAGGCTACTGTCCATGGGGTTGCAAGAGTCAGACACGACCTAGTGACTAAACTACTGCTGCTGCTAAAGACATCATCACAATAAAACAGGCTAAGTGCTGAAGAACAGATACCTTCAAACTGTGATGCTGGAGAAGACTTGAGAGTCCTTTGAACAGCAAGGAGATCAAACTAGTCAATCCTAAAGGAAATCAACCCTGAATATTCATTGGAAAGACTGATGCTGAAGCTGAAGCTCCAATACTTTGGCCACCTGATGCGAAGAGCCGACTCATTGGAAAAGACCCTGATGCTGGGAAAGATTGAAGGCAGGAGGAGAAGGGGATGACAGAGGATGACATGGTTGGATTGCATCACTGACTCAATGGACATGAGTTGAGCAAACTCTGGGAGATGGTGAAGGAGAGGGAAGCCTGGCGTGCTGCAGTCCATGGGATCACAAAGAGTTGGACCTGATTGAGCAGCTGAACAACAACAAAGACATCATTTAAAGCCTGAATCCAGCATGTCTGTCTGCTCTTGGCCGGCCCCAAAGCTCCTAAAATAGATTCCCATTTCTGCCTAGATGAATTTGAGTTAGGTTTCCATTGCTTACAGCAGTAGAACTACATCTTTGGAGGGAAAGGCTTCATCAAGCTCTGTTACACTCTCCCATCAGTCATGAGCACTGACTCAACTCCCATTGGTTGAAAATCTCAACCAATGAACTTTCCCAAAGGAATCAACTGCCTCCACTAAGAGACAGAGACCAATAACGTCATAGCTTCCTAACATTTTAATAGGACAATTTGAAAATATACAGAAAAGTTGAATGATTTTGTACAGTAAGTCACTGCCTAGGTTTTGTAACTGGCATTAGTAAATGTTAGTTGCTCAGTCATGTCCAACTCTTTGTGATCCCCCTGGACTTTAGCGCACCAGGCTTCTCTGTTCATGGAATTCTCCAGGCAAGAATAGTGGAGTGGGTTGCCATTCCCTTCTCCGGGGTATCTCTCCACCCCAGGGATCGATCACCAACTCAATGGACATGAATTTCAGCAAACTCCCGGAGGTAGTTTGGTGTGGACAGAGGACAGAGGAGCCTGATGTGCTGCAGTTCATGGCGGGGCCTGAATTGCTAGTGATAATGTCTGTGGACAAGTCCAGGGTTGGCAGAACTGCTGCTCAGCCTGGGCCAGCAGCCTGGGCACCAAGGCACTCCGGCTGAGGGATTGTTCTCCTGGAAGCCACTGCTGGTTCCTCAGGCACAGGGGCTGGGAAGCCCTGCAAGGGCCAGAGTGGAGAAGACGGGCAAGGACCAAGCCAGGGGAAGATAGAAGCAAGTGGAGGAGAGGGCTGCAGGGGGAGCTGGGGAGGAGCAGTGGGCGGGACCCAGAAGGGGCGGGGCAAGAAGAGGCGGGGCAGCCGCTCACCCGTGAGGGGTCCGTCTGAGAAGCGGCAGGGAGGGGTGGAGTTTGACCTCCGGCCAGAGGGGCTGAGGTTGGACCCCTGTGAACTGACCTGATGTTACACTTCAATTTAAACACACACATACGCGCGCGCGCGCGCGCACACACATCCTCCCCCACACACGAAGCTGCTGATCCTCCGTGGAGAACGGACTTTGTGATGCCAGGGGGTGCTCCCCCACCCTCCACTGCCCTTTACTCCCCTCCCCCCGCCCCCAACTCCCCAGGGGCTAGGTCACTCTGGACCTTGCTACTTCCTGTTCCTGGCTGCCGCAGTTCAGAGGCTATGGAACTCTGGAAGAAGCTGAGGCAGGCTGGACTGGTGCCCCCAGGGCTGGGCCCACCCCCGCGGGCCCTGAGGGGAGTCCCCCCAGCGGAGAAGGTGGGTCAGACCCTCGCGTCCCCAGGGACTGGCCCTGGAGGTGCCAGGGAGAGTCTGCTGTGGATCTGGGAGGAGCTGGTGAGTGAGGGGCTCAGAGGAATCAGAGATGAGGGAGTGGGGAGTGGATAAATGAATGGGGATGAATGAAAATAAAAGGTGCCAGAGACTGAAAGACAGAAAGTGAGAGACAGGAATAGAGAAACAGAGGCAGAGACACATACACACAGAGTGAGATGGAGACAGAGACACAGAAAGACACTAAGAGTGGCAGACAGTAGTAGAGACAGAGAGACCCAGAGACAGAGAGACAAGAGATGGAAAGCAGAGCCTGAGAGCCAAAGACAGGCTCATGTTAAATCTGAAAGACAGAGATGGAGAAAGTCAAAGGCAGGGGCAGAGAAATAGAGACAGACAGAAAGACAGGATCTAGAAAGACAGAGAGGGAGGCAGCCAAGTAGAGACAGAGAGATGGAGACAGATAACAAGAGAGGGAGACCTAATAAGAGAGACGGAGACTAAGATCAGGACACAGAGAGAGAACAAGAGAGGCGGAGAAAGCGAGGGAGAGTGAAATGCAGAGACCACGACCGTGGGAGACAGGACAGAAGCAGGCTGACAGAGTCCAGGGACACGGTGAGGGTCCCACCCGTATGCTGTGGGCCAGGACTGTTAAAGAAAAAGATGACACCTGTTAAAGATGGCAAGGCTATAGGTATAAAGACCCGCTGTGATGGGATTTTGTAGTAGAGGAGAGAGATTGGGCTGAACCTTGAATATAGCATGGGCAATTGGGCATTGAAAGCCAAGGAGCAGAGTCAGGGGATAGAACATTCCTAAGAGGCTGGGGTGTCCCTGGAGGTCTAGTAGTTAAGCTTCAGAGAGGTTCCAATGCAGGGGATTTGGGTTCGATCCCTGCTGGGATAACTAAGGTCCCACATGCCAAGTGGCACAGCCAAAAGGGGGGAAAAATGGAAAATTCCTAAGAGGCAACCTCAGGGGTGAGGGGGGAGTCTGGCTAAACTGATCTAGCAGGATTCTTGCTGAAGGCAGGCCAGGGTGATCAGCCATCACCTGGGGGAGGGGGGAGGGGGGAGGACGAGGAATCTGATTAGATATGGAAGAGAGTGTTGTTAGCCTCTTGGTCGAGTCCAACTCTTTACGACCCCATGAACTGTAGCCCGCCAGGCTCCACTGTCTATGGAATTCTCCAGGCAAGAATACTGGAGTGGGTTGCCTTTCCCTTCTCCAGGGAATCTTCCCAACCCAGAAATTGAACCAGGGTCTACTGCATTGCAAGCAGATTCTTTACCATCTGAGCCACCAGGGAAGCCCAAAACATACAAAGAGGGCGATTCTTGCTAAAACTGGATTTTACTGATACAAGGAAGTACTGATGGACCCCGGAAAATGTTCAGGATCCTGACTAAAGTTTGGTTAGGCAAAGAATCTGTGTTGGCACTTGAGCTGGGAGCTGCTCCCACTCAGGTTTCTAGGCAGAGGCACACTAACCCTTTGCCGTCTGGAGTGGCACGCCCATGACTGCCCCTTCCCACCCCAGGGGAACCTCCGCCAAGTGGATGTCCAGCTGCTGGGCCAGCTGTGCAGCCTGGGACTGGAGATGGGGGCACTGCGGGAGGAACTGGTGGCCTTCCTGGAAGAGGAGGCAGAGGAGAACACCGAGGAAGAGGAGGAGGAGGACAGAGAGCTGAAAGGGAAACTGGAGGGGGCCTCCAGTCCAGTCCCCGGCCACCACCGCCCCCCTGACTTTGAGATGACTATCTGAGGTCCTGCCAGTGTGCTTCCAATGGACACGTGAATGATACGCAAATTTATGTAAGAAGGCAGGGGAAGGGAGGGATTTGCAGGTTAAATTGACCTGCAGATGTCCGATTTGGTACTGTCATTTGCTCCTTGAGCAAGTGCTTTCTCTGAAAGTGTCTGAGAAGAGATTGAGGGGTGGGTCCCTGAATGGTGGGTGTGTTTCTAGATGTTGTGGGAGGTTTGCAGAGAAACTCTTGGTGTCTTTGCAAATATGATGTACAGATGGCTGTTAAGCACTTGGAAAGTGGCTAGCTCTGAGGTCTGCTGTAAGTGCTGAATCTCCAAGCTGGATTTGATAAAAAGAATATTCAGTATTTCAATAATTGTAAAAATTAATTATATTTTGAAATGATAATATTTGGGGTATGTTGGGATAAATAAAAATATGACTAAAGCTAATTTCACCTGTTTATTTGTAAATTTCTTTTACTGTGGTAAAACACAGAACATAAGAGTTACCCTTTTAACCATCTTTAAAGGTTCGGACACAACTTAGTGACTAAACCACCACCAAAGGGGAGGTCAGAGTGCCATTCTCCTATCTGTTGTTTTTGTGTTTGTATTTTTTTTAATAATATTTATTTATTTATTTTTGGCTGTGCTGGGTCTTCCTTACTGCGTGGGCTTTTCTCTAGTTGCAGCGAGCAGGGGCTACTGTCTAGCTGCAGTGTACAGGCTTCTCTTCTTTGGAGCACTTCAAGCATGCTTCAGTAGTTTCAGTAGTGTGGGCTCAGGAGTTGGCAGTTCCTGGGCTCTAGAACGCAGGCTGAATAGTTGTGGTGAACAGGCTGAGTGATCCGCAAGCATGTGGGATCCTCCCAGATCAGGGATCAAACCTGTGTCTCCTGCCTTGGCAGGCAGATTCTTTACCACTGAGCCACCAGGGAAGCCCTGTGTGTATATTTTTAAATTAAATTTAATTTGTTTATTATTTGTGGCTGTGCTGGGTCTTTGTTGCTGCACGGGCTTTTCTCTAGTTGCAGAGAGCAGGGCTACTCTCTAGTTGCGGTGCATGGACTTATTGCGGCGGCTTTTCTTGACGCAGAGCACCGGCTCTAGGGCACATGGGCTTCAGTAGTTGCGGCTCCTGGGCTCTAGAGCACAGGCTGAATAGCTGTGGTGCACGGGCTTTGCTGGTCCAAGGCATGTGGGATCTTCCCAGACCAGGGATCCGAACCTGTGTCTCCAGCACTGGCAGGTGGATTCTTAACCCCTGAGCCACCAGGGAAGCCCTCATTTTAACCTTATTTTAAAATTTACAGTTCAGTAGTGTGAAATACATTCATGTTGTGGTGTGAATGTGTTTTCATCTTGCAAAACTGAAAAGGTACCTGTTAAACAACAACTCCTCATCTGCCCGCTCCCAGCCCCTGGCAACCACCCTTCTGCCTTGTCATTATGAATTTGCCTACTCTACGAACTTCATGTAAATGGGATCACACAGTATTTGTCTTTTCCTGACTGGTTTGTTCATCTATGTTGCAACATGTATCAGAATTTCCTTTCTCTCTGAGGCTGAATAATATTTCGTTCTATGAACAACCACATTTTGTTTGTCAATGGGCACTTGGGTCATTTCTAGCTTTTGGCTATGGTGAACAGCATCGCTGTGAACAAGGGTGTACCAAGTCTTAGTTGTGGCCTGTGAGGTTTAGTTCCCTGACCAGGGATCAAACCTGGGCCCCCTGCATTGGGAGCACAGAACCTTAGTCACTGGACCATGAAGGAAGTCTTTTTTTAAAAATTTGGGTATATACTCAGAAATGAGATTGCTGGACTGTGGGTGATTCTGTTTAATTGTTTGAGAAGTGCTGTGCTATTGGCTCTACCATTTGCCATCCCCACGACCACAGATCCCCATCCCCATGACCAGTGCACAGTGGCTACAACTTGCTACCTCCGTACCAACACTTGTTGTTGTTGTTAATATTTTATTATTCTTATTGTTATTTTATCATTTTTATTTTTTGGCTGTGCCCCGAGGCTTGTGGTACCTTACTTCCCAACCAGGGATCAAACCTATGCCCCCTGCGTTGGAAGTTCGGAGTCTTAGCCACTGGACCACCAGAGAAGTCCTTTGCCAACACCTGTTATTTTCTTGTTTTTTTTTTTTTTTCATGATAGCCATCCTAATGGGTGTGAGGTGGTACCTCGTTGTGGTTTTACTTTGCACTTCCCTAGTGATTGGGCGGCTCCCCTGGTAGCTCAGTCAGTTAAGAATCTGCCAGCAATGCCGGAGACCTAGGTTCGATCCCAGGAAGAGCCCCTGGAGGTAGGGCATGGCAACCCACTCCAGGATTCTTGCCTGCAGGATCCCCATGGACAGAGGAGGCTGACGCGAGGCAGTCCCTAATGATTAGTGATGTTGAGCATCTTTTCTTGTGCTAATTCACTCATTTTTTATTTACATTTAAAAATATGGCTGCTAGAAAACTTAAAATTACATAAGTGGCTCCCACTGTATTTGCCTTGCGCCGCACTATTTCAGATATTTGAAAATGGAATGTGGGTGTGAGCAGATGAGCCGCGAGGCTTCATCCGTGTTCCCTGACGCGATGCAAATGCGTCACAGCGCCACCTGCAGGAGATGGGCAGGTATCTGCAGATAGCCGAAGAGAAGCAGGGCTGCTTCTGTTAACTCCTGCCTAAGTCTACATTCTTAGAAGAGACGCCCAGGGAGACAGCTCTCCGATGGGGGCGATTTGGAAAGGAAAGCTTACTATTCAAGAACAGCAAGGGGACTTCCCTGGAGGTCCAGTGGTTAAGAATCCGCCTTGCAACGCAGGGCACTCAAGTTCGATCCTTGGTCGGGGAAGTAAGATACCACATGCCAAGGAGCACCTAAACCCAGGCGCTGCAACTACGGGGCCTGCGTGCCACAATTAGAGAGTCTGTGCGCAGCAATGAAAGATCCTGAATGATGCAATGAAGACTCAACACAACATTAAAAAAAAAAAGAACAGCATGTCCAGTCGCCCCTGATATCTGGATGGGAGTTGCTATGGGCCATGTCCTGGGTCATAGAGGTGACATCTATGGGGGAGTCACCTTCATCAAACACTCAGGGAGTTTGGGTGGGTGTGGGCAGCACCCCCTCCTCTGGTATGGTCTTCAGTGCTACCCTTACTGAACTACATCCAGCAATGACCAAGTAAGCACCAAGTTTGCCCTTCCAAGTGCTCAGCCCAGTAAGGGGGGCACCCCTTAATACATAGAAATAGCAAAAAAATAAAAATAAAAAATAAATTTAAAAAGAAATAGCCAAGACGAACAGGGCTGGAATGGGGCTGGAATGGGGGGAGGCACAGACAGAGGGGTCAGGGCCAGGATGGGGAAGCACAGACTCTCACATCTGCCGACATCTCATTTCTCTGGGAATATCCTCACTCCCAACTAGAAAGATAGTAATTCTCCTTGCTTTTTCACTTGATGCCAGGCCCTGTATGCCCACTGTTATACTGTACTACTGTACTTTTTCAAGGCTCTATACTGTAAGATTAGACATGTTTTCTTCATTTTTTGTGTTTGTTTGTTATTTGTTAGTTGTGTGGAAAGTATTATAGACCTATTACAGTCCAGTGCTATCTAGCCAATTGTGTTAGTTGGGTACCTGGGCTAAATTTCTTGGACTTATGAACAAATTAGACATATGAATATGCTCTTGGAGTGGGACTTGTTTGCATGTAGGGAACTTACTGTACTGAAATTGAATCAGTTATTTATTTATTATTATTTTTTGCTGCACTGCATGGCTTGCAGGATCTTAATTTCCTCAGCAGGGATTGAACCTGGACCCTTGGCAGGGCAAGTGCAGAGTCCTAACCACTGGACTGTCAGGGAATTCCCTGAATCAGTATCTTAAAAACTTCCAACAAACAAAAGTCTACATTTAAAGAAGAGCTAATACCTACCCTTCTGAAACTATTCCCAAAAATTGCAGTGGGAGGCATGCTTCTGAACACCTTCCATGAAGCCAGCATCATACTGATACCACAACCAGAGACATCACACACACAAAAGATAATTACAGGTCAATATCACTGATGCTCACAGATGCAAAATTCCGCAACAAAATAGTAGCAAATAGAATCCAATGATACATTCAAAGTATCTTACACCATGGTCAAGTGAGATTTATCCCAGAGATGCAATGATTTTTTTAATATCTGCAAATCAGTCAATAAGAATAAGAGCCATATCATCATCTCAAGAGATGCAGAAAAAGCTTTGATAAAAATTTTCAACATAATGAAGGTTGTATTGAACTTCCCCGGTGGTACAGTGGATAACAATCTGCCTGCTGATGCAGGGGACACAGGTTTGATCCCTGGTTAGAGAAGATTTCACATGTCTCGGGCAACTAAAGCACAGAAGGCATTAAAGCCACCAACTGGGGACATAACATTGTTTTCCTTCTCCTTTGGCTCCTATCCAGAGCAATTTCCTTCTGATAATTTGACTCCTGTGAAAGCTGTCTGGCTGTGGTCAGTGAGTGGCGTCTGAGAGCCTGAACTTGTGTTCAGAGGGAGCTGGGGGGTCACAGAACAGGCCAGGCCAGCAGGAGGTCACATATGTGCATCTCCTGGGGGCTATGAAGGATGTGGCTGAATGCACGCTAGCTCAGCTGCCACTGAAATCCGTGTTTTCTTTGGGTTATAATACTGCTTTATTTTGAGATGCTGCAGGGTTTCTGCAGCATTGGGCTTTGTTTGGAAATTCAGAGAATCCTCCAATGGCAAGCTTGACTGTGCCAAAAAATAATCAATGAAACCCCGAGTGTTTGAGATATTCTGAAAGCAAGTCACAGATGTTCCTGGTTTGCATCATCCTCTAACCCAGGGGTCCTCAAGCTCTGGGTCGAGTAGACTGATATCTCATACAGATTAGCAGCAGCATTAGATTAGAAATAAAGTGCACAATAAATGTAATGTGTTTGAATCATTCAGAAACCATCCCCCCAAA